GGGTAGGCCTACGCCTACCCTAGCCCCCTACCCTAGGCCTACCCCTAGCCTAGGGGCCGGGACTTCTATACCCAAAAGCCCTACACCCCAAACCCCAAACCCCAAAACCCAAACCCCAAACCCTAAACCCTAAACCCTAAACCCTAAACCCTAAACCCTAATAAACCCACCCGAAGCACTCAAGTCCAAGGCCCCTCTCACTTTGCAAGGTACGTCCGGGCGCTGGACCTGAAGCGGTGGCTCACTTCCGTAGACCCCACGGGGGGCTGCTTGCACTACCTTTCCGCCGCGCACCTCGACCGATGTACGTAGGATTTCTGCCTAAACCCTAAACCCTAAACCCTAAACCCTAAACCCTAAACCCTAAGCCCTAAACTCTAAACCCTAAACCCTGAACCCTGAACCCTGAACCCTAAACCCTAAACCCTAAAACCTAAACCCCTGGATTCTAACTACATGGGCCCCGAATTTGGTCCCCTACCTTCTTGAAAGGTTTCTGAAGTAATTATGGGCCCTTGGTTGCATAGGGTATATAAGTGATGTATGTAAGGGGTCCCCATTTAAGGACCTATGCGAAGCGACCCTGTAACTACCCTAGCAGTGATCTGGTCGTATGTTCTCAACATACCGCTACATGCGAAAACGGTAACGCTTAAAATCAGCGTTCAGGAGGGTTTAGATTTTATAGTGTTCGTAAGGGAGGGGGTTCAAGGGGTTCGGTGCCTAAGGAAACTTAGGAAAGCTTAGTGGGTTACATACCCCTCCTTGAACCCCCAACCCTAAACCGTAAACCCTAAACCCCTAATATACTCCCCTTAAGAACCCTATAAAACTCACAGGGTGAGGGTTGTGGAATGGTGTTAGGGGACAGGATGATCGAATGTCGCAGGGGGGGGGGGGGGGGGTCTTGGGATGATTGTGGGGTGTGGGTTCAGGGCAAGGGCTTTAGGGTGAAGGGATTAGCGTCAAGGTTTCAGGGTTAAGGCTTTAGGGTTCTGGGCTTGGAAACCCTAAATCCCAAAGCCTAAACCCTAAACCCTAAACCGCACCCTTGCATGCAAGGGCACGATGTACTGAAGTACCCCGACTTTGAACCGTGTGCCTTCCCCTTTCGTCTTCACGGGGATGAGGTACCCGTGGTTGGAGTAGGAAAAATTTGGCGCCCGCAGCGTGTTGCAGTTTAGCTTCAACAGTTTGATGGCAACAGCTGTCGCGAGATCGGAGAGGATTTATCAAATCTTCATCTGGGGCATCTTTGAGAAGCATGTCTTGGCGGAATCGATGCCGGCAGCCTTTTTGAACTCTTGAAATGGAGCTTCGACATTTGCTACTCCGGTCGATGGCCGAGCAGGGATTGGAGGGGAGTCAAGCATTATGGTTGTTATATATATATAAACATTGACAAGGATAAGATTTTGTATTTTAAACCTTAAACCCTATAAGCGTATAAGTAGTGCTAGACCCTGAGCTTTAAGCTGTTGATATTCAGCCACGTATACAGCAAGACGAGGTATGCTCCCCAAACCCTAAACCCTAAACCCTAAACCCTAAACCCTAAACCCTAAACCCTAAACCCTAAACCCTAAACCCTAAACCCTAAACCCTAAACCCTAAACCCTAAACCCTAAACCCTAAACCCTGAACCCTGAACCCTAAACCCTAAACCCTAAACCCTAAACCCTAAACCCTAAACCCCAAACCCTAAACCCTAAACCCTAAACCCTAAACCCTAAATTTAAGGCTCAAGCCGCCGACCCCGCAGGAGAACAAGTTTAAGGTTTGGGGTTTGGTTTGGTGGATTGTTTGCGGTGGGGTGGGGGGGGGGTGGGTGGGCGCGGGCAAGCTGGCGGAGAAGCTCGCTTCACAAAGGTTTGGGGGTAGGCGGGGGGGGGTGGGTAGGTAGGGGGGGGGTAGGTGGGCCCCCCCCCCCCCCCCCCGCATTTTGGGGGGGTAAAGAGGGAGGTTTTTCTTTCCAAGCGGACCCTAAACCCTAAACCCTAAACCCTTAGCCCTAAACCCTAAACCCTAAACCCTCAACCCTAAACCCTGAACCCTAAACCCTAAACCCTAAACCCTAGACCCAAAACCCAAAACCCAAAACCCAAAACCCAAAACCCTAAACCCTAAACCCGCTGAAGTGGATCCCTGCCCTGTGGTGGTTACATCGCTATCCTAGTTCAGTTGAACGGGGATTTTGCCTATTTCGCCACATGGTTGCTCAGCTTCATTGCTGCCCAAACCCTCAACCCTAGACCCTAAACCCTAAACCCCAAGGATTTTAGGGCTTAAGGATTTCAGGTTTCGGGTTTAGAAACACTTAAGCCCTAAACCCAAAGGATTTAGGGCTAAGGTTCCAGGACATATTTCAGGTCGAGGAGGCCTCGTGCCCTCCAAATCTCCCCCCTTAAAGCTTTCGATCCTTTTGCATACTTGGAGCCCTAGGGTAAACCATAGACCTGAACCCTAAGTTATGGAAGCCACAAGAGGACGTATGGGGCCCAGTTCGAAGAACTCCCTAAGGACCTCCTTAAGGTTCCCAACAACTTCCGAGTGTGGGGGGTCCTCTCATATGGAGTCCACCTAGGGTTTAGGGTTTAGGGCGTAGGGTTTAGGGCTTCCCCCGGGCTTCCCCCCACACCTCCCCCCCCTCCCAACCTTAGAGGTTAGGGCTTCGGGTTTCGGGTTTCGGGTTTAGGGTTTAGGGTTTAGGGTTTAGGGCTAGGGTTTAGGGCTTAGGGTTTCCAAAAACGCTGAGGCAGGAGAGGCATGAGACGAGCGAGCTGCTGGCAAAGGCCTATGTGCAGGAGTCAGAGGGTCGTTGCATGCTGAGACTTGGCGCGAAGGGGTTTAGGGTTTAGGGTTTAGGGTTTAGGGTTTAGGGTTTAGGGTTTAGGTTTCAGAGGTTTAGAGTTTAGGGTTCAGGGTCAAGGGGTGTAAGGTTTTCAGGGTTTGTGGTGGGGTTTTCAGGGTTTTAAGGGTTCGCATTCGGCAAGCACTGTGAATAGTGAAAAAGAGCTATAAGCTGTTCCCTGACCCCGAAACCTCAAACCATAAACTCCAGTTAATCGCTAAACCCTACACTTGAAAAACCCACCCACCCCGACACCCTGAACCCCAAATTCTAAGCCTACCTGCTACCTTAATTGCACCCCAAACCCAAAACCATAACCCCCAAACCCGTAAACCCCAGTTATTACCCTAAACTCCAAACTCAGAACCAATAATTACCCACATAGGGCTTAGGGTTTAGGGTTTAGGGTTTAGGATTTAGTGTCTATCTGCGGGTAGATACGTGGTCCCCCCAGCTAAAGGGGGACCTTGTAGACCCCACTTATATGCCCTGTGAAACCCAAAGGCCCGTACTTGAAGCATTTTAGGAAGGCTTCCATGTAGCCCTAAACCCTAAACCCTAAACCCTAAACCCTAAACCCTAAACCCTTAACCCTTAACCCTTAACCCTTAACCCTTAACCCTGAACCCTGCACCCTTAACTCTCAGTCTTTAACCCTTAACCCTAAACCCTAAACCCTAGATACTAAACACCCTAAACCCTAGTCTAGGGGTTTAGGGTCTAGGGTGGCGGCAAAGGAAGCCTGACTTCTTCAGCGATCTGGACGTCGCGGAGGAACATCGGCCTCGCTACGCGATGCATTCTTGCAGAGTCCGACCCTAAACCCTGAACCCTAAACCCTAAACCCTAAACCCTGAACCCCAAACCCTAAACCCTGAACCCTAAACCCTATACCCTAAACCCTAAACCCTAAACCCTAGACCCTAAACCCAAACCCTAAACCCCGCAACCATAACACCCTAAACCAATATACCCAAACCCTCACCCTTCAAACTCTCAGGGATCTCATAGGCTTAAATCGGGACCTTGTATATACCCCTTGTATACCCTACACAGCCCAAGGGCCCATACTTCAGAACCCCTTAAAGGAGGTAAGGCCCACATTAGGGGCCCATGAAACTACCCTTAGAGGTTCGGGCTTAGGGTTTTAGGGTTTAGGGTTTAGGGTTTAGGGTTTAGGGTTTAGGGTTTAGGGTTTAGGGTTTAGGGTTTAGGGTTTAGGGTTTGCCCCTGTCCGGCATTCACTGTCGCTCCTCTCGGCGCCTGGCACGTCGGGTACGCGGTCCTTGGGGACCGCATGAACCCTAAAATTGGGCTCATATACCCGATACTACTATAATTCCTACTAAGGTCCCTAAACCCTAAACCCTAAACCCGAAATCCGAAGCCCGAAACCCGAAGCCCGAAGCCCGAAACCCGAAACCCGAAACCCGACACCCTAAACCCGACACCCGAAACCCTAAACCCTAAACCCTAAACCCTAAGCCCTAAACCCTAAACCCTAAACCCTAAACCCTAAACCCTAAACCTTCACAACAAATCAAGGCAAACCAAGCCTGAGGCTTCCTCCGCTGGTTCGCCGACAACTGTGGCGCGGACGCTGTGCGACCTTTTGGGGGAGGGGGCGGGGGGGGGATTTCAGGGGTTTAGGGTTCAGGGTTTAGGGTTTAGGGTTTAGGGTTTAGGATTTAGGGCTTAGGGTTCCCTCTAAGCGCTCTTTCTGCAAGTAGCCTCCCTTCGATTGTTTCAGGTCTTTGGCTTACAGCCCTAAACCCTAAGCCTTAAACCGGCACCCCAAGCACCAAACCCCAAACCCCAAACTCAAAAAACAGGGTTTAGGGTTTAGGGTTTCGGGTTTAGGGTTTAGGGTTTAGGGTTCAGGGTTTAGGGTTTAGGGGGTCAGGACAAAGAACACACAAAACCAGACGAGGAAGGCGTGCTTGATGCTGGAACGCCCGCCGCGGACGGCGACGTAGCGACTGAGGACCGAGATTCGCAGTGAATTCTCAGATCTTCCAAAACCCCTGAATTAAGGAATATGCCCGAATACATAATAAGGATCCTTCGTAGAAACTAGGGTATATTCCTTAGTTAAGGGGTTTTGGAAGATCTGGGCTCTGAGCCTTTCAACGAACGACTGGTTTAGGGTCTCGGGTTGGGATGTTCCCCCCAAAACTAACTGTCCTTAGTAGGGATTCTCAACAGGGGGTACGACCATCCCTATTTAGGACTGTCAGTATACGGGCGAGCATCCCAAGTTTCGGGTTTAGTAGGGGGCTTCGTAGGGGTTTACCCAAAGGCTCCTATGTAGTACCTTTTTGGGATAGTATACTAGAATCCCTTATAACTAACCCAAAAAGGAACTGCATTGGAGCCTGTGGGTTATAGGTTTCGTAGGATTTTGAGGGTTTAGGGTTTAGGGTTTAGGGTTCCTTGCTACCCCTCCCCGCACCCAGGTTGAGGGTCAACAGTTTGGGTTGCCCGAACGAATCACTCCCTAAACCCTAAACCCTAAACCCTAAACCCTAAGCCCTAAACCCTAAACCCTAAACCCGAAACCCGAAACCCGAAACCCTAAACCCTAAAGCCTAAAGCCTAAACCCGAAAGCCTACACCCTAAACCCTAAGCCCAGACCCCCGCGCCCCCCTCAAAGATGCCCTGTAAACAGCTCGCTATGTGCTAAGTCCCTGATATCTTCAACAGCACCCTAAACATTCCAAGCCTATTTAATCCCGAATTCGAAATCCCAAGACAGATCCGAAACCTTAAACCCCCAAACCCTAAAGCCCTGAAACCGGGACGCCCTGAACCCTGAATCTCAAAACCACTAGAAACCCTATCCCACCCTAATCCCTAGTCCCTAAACTTGGCCCTAAACCCTTAATTAAAGCCCCCAAGCCCGATAACACCCACACCCTAAGCTCTCAACCCCAGACCCCCCCGGACCCGAAGCCCCGAAACCCCGAAGGTCATCGAGCTCCTCCCCCCCGAAAGGTGCGCGAAGCAAAGCTTCCCAAAGAGCCCAATACTCCTAGTTTCAGGAATAGACCTTAAATTACGTAGGGATCCTTAGTATGATTTAAGGCACATTCCTTAATTAAGGGGTATTGGGTTCTTTGGGTTCGACATTGATTTTCCAGAACCCGGTGCCAGTAATGCAAGACGTCGTCCGTTTCGGTGGGCCTGGGGCGAAGGCGTCGGCCAAATGGCGACAGGTGCTAAAGCAAGGACGCCATTCACCGGCACTCCGGCAGGTCTGACACCCCCAACGAGCAAGCCGGTTTCCATTGCTGCCGGCCCACAGGGAGAAATCGCGCTGCAACCGTAAACCCTGAACCCTAAACCCTCAACCCTAAACCCTAAACCCTAAACCCTAAACCCTAAACCCTACAACCGCTTCGGTCCTTGAGCTCCAGGCTTCGACTCTTCCCTGCGCCCAGGCGGCGTCCCTCGAGGACTCGAGACCTTGAAGGGTTTAGGGTTTAGGGTTTAGGGCTTAGGGCTTAGGGTTTAGGGTTTAGGGCTTAGGATTTAGGATTTAGGGTTTAGGGTTTAGGGCTTAGGGCTTAGGGCTTCGGGTTTGGGGTAGAGGATGTTGAAGAATGATTCCGTGTCGCCGTGTCAACAGTCCCCCCCCCCACCCCATGACATCCCTGCCCCCCAACCCTAGACCCCTAAACCCTAAACCCAAACCCCTAACCCCTAAACGGTAAACCCCTAAACCCTAAACCCTCAACCCCTCAACTCCTAAACCCTAAGCCCTAAGCCCTAAACCCTAAACCCTCAACCCTAAACCCTAAACCCTAAACCCTAAACCCCAGCAGAGGATGCTGCGATTGACCTTCGCCATCTTCCCTTCAGCGACTGGCTGGCGAGCATGGACCCCCGAATGGCACTGCAGCAGTATCTACCGGTGATACAGGACAGGGCCGCTAACCCTAAACCCTAGACCCGAAACCCCTAGCCCTAAACCCTAAGCCCTAAACCCTAAACCCTAAACCCTAGGCCCGAAACCCTAAACCCTTCAGACTCCAAGATTCAACCATGGAGCTCTCTACGAACCAACTCAACGCCCTCTAGTCGCTGCCAGAGCTCGAGAGGTTTACGGCTCAGGGGTTCACACCCCCGAAGTACATGTACCCTAAACACTAAACCCTAAACCCTAAACCCTAAACCCTCTCTTACTATGTATATTTAAACCCTAATGACCTTCGTGACCATGTGGTTTTTTTCTGGGCCCTAAACCCTGACCCCCTTCGTGGGCAAATGGTTTTTTCCTGGGCCGTGCCTCCAAAAACACCCCAAATGAGGGGGACCCCAGGATCGGCCCGGGTCCCAGTTCAAAATGCGATTTTTTAGTACTGAAACCGACGCTTCTGGGTGGGCTCTCGTTTTCTGGATTTTTGATCAAAACCGAGCCTTTGGGCCCTAAACCCTGACCCCCTTCGTGACCAAATGGTTTTTTTCCACCCGGGGGGGCCCTAAACCCTGACCCCCTTCGTGACCAAATTGGTTTTTTTCCACCCGGGGGGGCCCTAAACCCTGACCCCCTTCGTGACCAAATGGTTTTTTTCCACCCGGGGGGGGCCCTAAACCCTGACCCCCTTCGTGACCAAATGGTTTTTTTCCACCCGGGGGGGCCCTAAACCCTGACCCCCTTCGTGACCAAATGGTTTTTTTCCACCCCGGGGGGCCCTAAACCCTGACCCCCTTCGTGACCAAATGGTTTTTTTCCACCCGGGGGGGGCCTAAACCCTGACCCCCTTCGTGGGCAAATGGTTTTTTTCCACTTGGGGGGGCCCTAAACCCTGACCCCCTTCGTGGGCAAATGATTTTTTTCCACCCGGGGGGGCCCTGGATTTTTGACCAAAACCGAGCTTCACCGGCTTCAGGATGTCACTTTCTGTAAGAGGGAAAGTTTGCTTCCAAAAAGTTAGATTTTAGGTTTTGGGCGGACTTTTGAGCTATAAGCCTACTGAAAATGTATTGATTGAACTTTGTATTTTCTCAATGTTATGGGTTTCTTGGGTGGGTGGGGTTTTTTTCCAACGCTTGACAAGCTGCTTGACTAGTGAAGGCTTGGACATGAGATGCTGAACCCTAAACCCTAAACCCTAAACCCTAAACCCTAAACCCTAAACCCTAAACCCTAAACCCTAAACCCTAAACCCTAAACCCTAAACCCTAAACCCTAAACCCTAAACCCTAAACCCTAAACCGGTCAGCTGTCGAGCTTCAGTGTGTCCTGGGACAGGAGAGCTACGACACGGTCTCACAGAAGCCCGGCTGATCGAGTTTAGGGTTTAGTGTTTAGGGTTTAGGGTTTCGGGTTTAGAGTTTCGGGTTTCGGGTCACGGGGTCGGGGGCAGGTTCGGGGCTGACATCATTCCGCCTCTACTCCCAAAATACCGAAACTAGCATGGCGCCTATCCTACACGAACCTCTGTCCCCAGATCCCAAAGCCAAACGACATCTAAAAATCCCCAGTCCCAATCCCGGGTACCATACCCCAAGACCTCAACACACAAACCCCAAGCCCTGAGCCCTAAGCCCTAAACCCATAAACCCGAAACCCTAAACCCTAAACCCTAAACCCTAAACCCTAAACCCTAAACCCTAAACCCTAAACCCTAAACCCTAAACCCTAAACCCTAAACCCGAACTTCTAAATCCGAAGCCTGAAGCCGCCAAGCCCTTGAAGCCTAAGAGGGGTACGAGGTCTGGTTTGCAGGTTTAGGGTTTTAGGGTTTTAGGGTTTTAGGGTTTTAGGGTTTTAGGGTTTTAGGGTTTTAGGAATTTAGGAATTTAGGGTCTTAGGAAGTTAGGGTCTTAGGGTTTCAGGGTCTTAGGGTTTCAGGGTCTTGGGGTTTTGGGGCTTTAGGGTTGCAGGGTTGAAGGTTGGGGGTTTAGGTCAAGGCTATGCTATGGTTACAGGGCTTCCTGGAGGGCCTGTGGCGTGCTTGCGGGTTTCCCTACTCCCTGCCTCTTTTCTAGCCCCCCCTAGGTTCCCCCCTTAAATAACCTTAGCTAGGCTTAATTATCCCTAAATCGCAGTAAAGTGGGTGGTACCCGAAACCCTAAGCCCTCAGCCCTCAGCCCTAAACCTTAAACCCTAAACCCTAATCCCTAAACCCTAAACCCTAAACCCTAAGCCCTAAGCCCTAAGCCCTAAGCCCTAAGCGGTAAACCCATGATGTGTGTACGTTGCGTTATGGGGCGAATCGTGGCGGCTGGCTTGCTATAGGGGGTTGGGACGCTCCCCCTTATACTAAAACAGTCCTTAGTAGGGATGGTCATAGGGGGTGTAGGGTTTAGGGTTCAGGGTTTAGGGTGTAGGGGGTGCTTTCATCCCTATGAATCAAGGACTGTTAGTATAAGGGGGAGCATCCCAATAGAGGGGATTTAATTACCGCAAGGTGTTGTTCATGCTCCGCGTGGAAGGCTGTAATATTGAATGCGACTTAGAAACACACTCCATCCACCTCGAGCATCCGCTACGTTTCCAAACTGATTTGCAGTTGAGGTGTCGGGACGGGCTACCCTTGAAAAAGGGTACGTACATCAAGTAATCAAGATACATGTCCCGCCCTACCCTAACTGAGGTACATACCGTACTCTAGGGTTTAGGGTTTAGGGTTTAGGGGTTTAGTGGTTTGGGGGTTTGGGGGTTTAGGGTTTTGGGGTTTAGAGGTTCAGGGTTTAGGGTTTAGGGTGTGTTTAGGGCACACTGAGGATCGCCACCACATACACCACTGTCGACGCGTCCGAGACACCCACAAAGCACCTGGACACAAGAGGGGTTTAGGGTTTAGGGTTTAGGGTTTAGGGTTTAGGATTTAGGGTTTAGGCTAATAGGGTTTAGGGTTCAGGGTTTAGGGTGTGGGTTTAGGGCTGTGCACCCAGAATCTCCAACACCACTTGATTAAGGAATACTCCCTAACCTATCTCGAATGATCTTGGGGATGCAGTATTCCTTACTGCCGGGGTGTTGGAGTATCTAGGTCGTAGTTAAGGATTTGGAGAGAACGCCTGGTCCTGGCCCTATCTCCGGCTTTCAAACTCCTGCTGCCCGATACCTTCAGGGTTTGGGGTTTAGAGTTTAGGGATACCTCCACACACCGTAACCCCTAAGCCTGAAGCCCTAAGCCCTAAGCCCTAAGCCCTAAGCCCTAAACCCTAAGCCCTAAGCCCCAAACCCTAAACCCTAAACCCTAAACCCTACACTCTAACCCTAAACCCTAAACCCCAAACCCCAAACCCCAAACCCCAAACCCAACCCCGGGCCTTCCTTCGGACATGGGTTCGGGCTCCTGCAAGACCGCAGCCTAAAGCACTACCCGTCTGATGCTTCGTGTTTCGGTTTTCGGGTTTGGGGTTTAAGGGTTAGGGTTTAGGGTTTAGGGTTTAGGGTTTAGGGTTTAGGGTTTAGGGTTCAGGGTTCAGGGTTCAGGGTTCAGGGTTTAGGGTTTAGGGTTTAGGGTTTAGGGTTTAGGGTTTAGGGTTTAGGGTTTAGGGTTTCGATACACCGCAGGGGAACCCACCTGCAACACCCTAAACCCTAAACCCTAAACCCTAAACCCTAGAAGCCCTTGTCAGGCGGCTGGACGAGCAGATGTTCGAAGATTTCGGCGTGGAGCCGCCTGTTGTCAACTGTCAACAGAAACCCCAAACCTTTTTTGGGGTTTAGGGTTTAGGGTGTAGGGTTTAGGGTTTAGGTTTTAGGGTTCAGGGCTTGTGGGGTTGACAGTTGAGGGATCGCGTAACAGGCAACCTCGGCACCCCAAGGCTATATAGCATGGGTTTGCGCATTGCTGTTTTTGGTGTTAGGGTTACGTAGGGGGTTTGGGGTTTGGGGTTTGGGGTTTGGGGTTTGGGGTTTGGGGTTTGGGGTCTGGGGTTTAGGGTTTAGGGTTTAGGGTTTAGGTTCCGAAGACCTCCCTGCAGAGAGTTGTTGGGATTTAGGGTGGCTCCAAAAAAATCCCTCCTTTTGGGCTTAGGGGTTTAGGGCTCTACGGTTTGCGTTTTAGTTTTTTCTGGGTGGGGGGGGGGGAGTGTAAGAGATAAATCTTGAGAACGAATACTTTGTAGATCCTTCTGGGGTTGGATTAAAGTCTGTGTAGGGTTTCGTGTTTGGTTTTTCGGGTCTGGGGTTAAGATGGAAATGGTTCAGTGTTTAGAGTTTCAAGGGTTGCCCTCAACCCTAAACTTACCCTCAAAACCCTTGAGGCACCCTACACCCTGACTTCCCTTTAGGGCTTAAGGTTTCGGGTATTTCAGGCGCCGCTACAAGAAATGGCGGCGCAGCCCAGAGGTCCTCTGGGACACCGCCCGTGGCGCAGCCCCCGGACGATCGGCGCAGGCATGCTGCCTACATGCGGTGCAGCCTCCCTGTTCCGAAGACTCCGGCCTACTGGCAGCCACAGGGAGCTGCAACCAGAGAGACGCGGCCTTAGGGGAGAACTCGCCCCAAAAAATGGATCGTGATCTTGATGCAGAGGATCCGGGGCGCGGGGGTTGGGGGCCACGTCGTGGCGATCGGAAGCCCGCCCCTAAACATTGCTAAAAAAGCCGACTCTCGCGCATCAAGGCGGAGTCGAAGGCTGCCTTGGGTTTAGGGTTTAGGGTTTAGGGTTTAAGGGTTTAGGGTTTAGGGTTTAGGGTTTAGGGTTTGGGGTTTCACTTTCGAGCTTGGCTCAGCACTCTACAGCAACCCGAAGCCCCAAAAGCTGAAGCCCCAAATGCTAAGCCCTAAGCCCTAAGCCCTAAGCCCTAAGCCCTAAACCCTAAACCCTAAACCCTAAACCCCTTTCTGGAGCGTGTGGGAATTGGTGCGAAGTTCACTGCGAGGCCCCGAAGTCCCACGCCCGGATAGCAAGTTTATGCTTGAGGGTTTAGGGTTTAGGGTCGACCCGCTCCCCGGCCCCCTAGCCCCCCTAAGTGGGGGCAGCGGCTGTAGAGCTCAGGGCTTATGGGGCTCCGGGCGTTAGGTTTTCAGGGCTCAGGGTTAAGGGTTTAGGGTTTAGGGTTAAGGCTTCAAGGGTTCGAGGGTTTCAGGTTGAATAGTGTACGAGTTTTTTACTGGCAATCCCTAGCGCCTCAAACATCCCTCAGACTCACGCGTGTCGGACCTAAATCATCACGACAGCCCCAAAGCCCTTACAGCCCGAAAGCCTTTAAAAAGGCTCTACCGGCCTTAACATCCTAAAACCCAAAATCCCGACTAAACCCTAAAACCCTAGACCCTAAACCTCAAATCCCAGGGACCCTGCTCACCGCGCATTGTTTCGCAGCTGGTTCGTGCGCTTCTGCGGGGTCAGGCCGGCGATTGGGGTCTTGTAAGGTTTATGGGTTCAAGGGGTTTAGGGCTCAGGGCTTAGGGTTTAGGGTTAGGACTTAAAGCCATTACAGTGCTTCAGGGGGTGAAGGGTTTAGGCTTTCAGGTTTACGGCTTCAGGGCTTTAGGGTATTAAGGTTTCATGCTTGGGGATCTTTGGCTGAAATGGTTTTAAAGTTTCGGGGTTTCGGGGTTTCGAGGATTAGTTTGGCTTGGGGGTTTAGAGCTTTGCAGTCTTTGGGTTTTACATCTTTTCAGGTTCAGCCTTCAGATCAAGGGGCTTTAGGGTTTTCAGGTGTAGGTCCAGTGTAGGCCTTAATTAAAGGTTTAGGGTTTTGGGTTTAGGGTCTCTCAATGGACAAAAAGAGGGAGGTTTCTACGGACTGCGTAAGGGTCAAAAAAGGGGTTATGTAGGGGAATAAGATGAAGGGTCCCTTCCAGGGTCCCTCCTTATACCCCTTAAGATTCAGGGTTTTGGTACAGGAAGTTGGGACGAATCCTGTCCCAGCTCCGGGTTCTTAAGGTTTCTGGCGCTGTAGAGTTGTTTTGGCTTTTCAGGCACCCCTACTACCCCCTACACATCATGGGTTTAGGGTTTAGGGATTAGGGTTTAGGGCTGTTGGGTTTATAGGGATAATCAAGCCTGTTTAAGGTTATTCAAGCGGGGGGAACCTGGGGGAGGGCAGTACAGAGGGGGGTAGTAGGGAGGTATGTTCATGTCAGGGTTTACGCATAAAAGGGGACCCCGCATATTAAGATCCCAAATAGTAGGAATCCCCTATAAATTAAGGACCCCAAGAAGGTACACCCTTATTTCGGAAACCCCCTGGTTTTTTTTAGTTCCAGGGCGCACACTGTCGGACTGTCGAGCTCTAACGGGGAAAAGGAGCAACGAATCTTATTCCCTTATATATATATATACGTATATATATATATAATATAATTCTTGTATATATATATATACACCTTACATAGTCCCGACATACCTAAGTAGCCCTTACATGACCCTAAGCCTTTCGTCCCTTGAAACTTTCGAGCTTAGATGCGATCGCAGCCTTATTGTTACTGGCTTCACTTCTAGGATGCCCCGTAGTGCATTTTTTTTTTTTTTTTGGGGGGGGGGGGGTGGGCTCCCTTCTAAGCGGGTTTCGGGTTTAGGGTTTAGGGTTTAGGGTTTAGGGTTTAATCTAGGTTGCTGGAAAACCTAGGCTTTGGGGCTTTCGTGATTCGGGTATAAGAGGGTTTCCGACATTCGGGTACCTTATTGGGGTAATATTTATACGGGAATCCTACTATTTGGGGGGACACAATTCGAGGTCTCCTATTTTCGTAAACCCCGAATAAGTGTTTAGGGTTGTAAGGATTAGGGCTTTTGAATGCTTACTGTATGGCTTAGAGCCGTCAGGCCAGGTGTTGAGATGAAGTTTTCTTTGTTGGAAACCCTAAGCCTTAGACCCTGGACCCCAAACCCTAAACCCTAAATCCTAAACCCTAAACCCTTAACCCTATAAGCCCTAAACCCTAAACCCTTAGTGGTCTTGGGTTTGAGACTTTGCAAGGTTCCTGGACTGAGGGATTTATAGTCTTAAGGTCATGAGTGAATGGGTTGTAGATGTGGGGCTTTTTGGGGGCTTGGGCCTGGTTGCTTGAGTTGTGTGACTAAACCCTAAACCCTGAACCCTAGACCCTAAACCCTAGAGCCTAAACCCTGAACCCTGAACCCTAAACCCTAGACCCTAGACCCTAAACCCTAAACCCTAAACCCTAAACCCAATGCATGGCCGACAGGCCGGCAGGTGTTGTTGAGGAGGAGGACGACCTTTTGGAAACAGACGCAGGTTTAGGGTTTAGGGTTTGGGGTTTAGGATTTAGGGTTTAGGATTTAGGATTTGGCGTGTAGGGTGCCTTTTTTCTTGGTAACTCATTGGCACCCTTTTTCTTCTTTTTTTGTTCAAGGTTCCCTTGTACAGTAACCAACCCCAAGAAAGGTCCCCTTATTTTACTCTGGTTACTCTGCTATCAAGTCTAAGATTAGGCTTCAGTGTCTTGCCTTTTTCGTTAACGCACTCTATGTTGCACTGGTGTCCTCTAAACCTTAAACTTTAAACTTTCACCCCTAAACTCTAAACCTAAACTCTACCCTTCAAAAACCTAAACCCTGGACCCTAAACCGCTTGAACCTCCGCACCAATACATACTTCTTAATTAAGGAACGCCTCAGATCATACAGGGGCAGTCTGTTCCTTACTTTACGCTCAATAAGCTTGAAACCTTGAGGCCCTAAACCCCAACCCCCCCCCCCAAACCCCCAAACCCCTAAACCTCGCAACCCCCCAAACCCCTCACCTAAACCTCTCAACCCCTCAACCCCTAAACCCTCTAAAACCCTAAGCCCCTAAAGCCCCTAACCCCTAAACCTCCATTATAATTCTCTAAACCCTAAACCCTAAACCCTAAACCCTAAACCCTAAACCCTAAACCCTAAACCCTAAACCCTAAACCCTAAACCCCTCTTCTAAACCCTGCTTGAAGTAAAGGGGGAAGCTTTCAAGGACCCAGCGACGCCGCACTTCGGCCCTGAAGGCACCATTTTTTTGGAGTTGAGGTTGGGTTTAGGGGTTGGGGGTTAGGGGTTGGGGGTTTAGGGTTGGTTTTAGGGTTTAGGGTTTAGGGTTTGGGGTTTGGGGTTTGGGGTTTGGGGTTTGGGGTTTAGGGGCATGATGTTGGTCTCAGACAATGGGACGCGAGGCCCCGCAAACCTCAAACCCTAACCCCTCAATCCGACCCTCAATCCACAAACTCCTCAGCCCTAGCTAAGCCCGAAACGCTTCGCACCTTACCAACCCCAGTTCCGCAAAACCTACACCCTGAGCCCAGTTTCTAGAACCTACATGCTGACCACGCACCCTACACCCCAAAACCCCATACCTTCAAACAATCCTGAACCCTGAACCCTAAACCCCAAACCCGCAAACCCTAAACCCTAAACCCCAAACACCAAACCCCAAATCCCAAACCCTAAACCCCCACTCCTAAGCTGTCCGACAGGGGAAGATGGCAAAGAGCCAGGGACAGCCGGCGAACCGCAGGCCGAGCCGGCCGCCCGTCCTTGACAAGGAGCTTAGGGCCCTAAACCCTAAACCCTAAACCCTAAACCCTAAACCCTAAACCCTAAACCTTAAACCCTAAACCCTAAACCCTAAACCCTAAACCCTAAACCCTAAACCCTAAACCCTCAACCCTCAACCCTCAACCCTCAACCCTCAACCCTCAACCCTCAACCCTCAACCCTCAACCCTCAAACCCTAAACCCTAAACCCTAAACCCTCAAACCCTAAACCCTAAACCCTAAACCCTAAACCCTAAACCCTAAACCCCAAACCCTACGAAGGGTTTAGGGTTTGTAGGGTTCGGGGCGTATAGGAGCACGAAGGTCGGGCCTCCCCAGTGCGGGGCACCTGCTGCAGCGCCGGACGAGGAGGCCCCTAAGGGTTGAGGACTAGGGTTTAGGGTTTAGGGTTGAGGGTTTAGGGTTTGAGGGTTTGAGGGTTTAGGGTTTAGGGTTTAGGGTTCAAGGTGTAGGGTGTAGGGCGGAGGGTTTGGGGTTTACTGTGTTGTATAGGGATTAGGGCATTTAGGGTATTCAGGGTATTTGCGCTATTGAGGGCATTTAGGGTATTCAGCTCAGGGCACGTAGGGTGTTTAGGGCTTAGGAATCTGGGCTTAGAGCTTAGGGTGTTGTTTGCTTGTGGTTTGGTGTGTTGTTGTTGCAGCCTTCGGGTTCGAGCTCTAGGCCAGTATTGCGTGGCAGTGAGGAAGCTAAACCTCAAGCCCTAAACCCTAACACGTCGCTTAGCTTGCACTATTCCTGAGTGCATCGAGGTTGATGAGGTCGGTGGACCGCTTCAGATTTCCGAATTCCTCCTAGTAGTAACTCGGGACGCAAAACCCCAAACCCTACACCCTCAACCCTAAGCCCTAAACCTTGCAATTGCTCTAGGCACGACACCTTGAACACCGCACTCTGATTCCCTATCCCCAAGCCCTAGACCCAAAACAGGGGTACTCCTTCGATACCCCAAATAGATCCTTTAAAGGGATCCCCGAAAAGGGTACCCCCCTATTGCCCCAAATGGAGTAGCCCTAAACCCTAAGCCCTAAACCTAAACCCAACACCCGAGACCCTAAACCCTAAACCCTAAACCCTAAGTTTAACCCTAAACCCTAAACCCTAAACCCTAAACCCTAAACCCTAAACCCTAAACCCTAAACCCTAAACCCTAAACCCTAAACCCTAAACCCTAAACCCTAAACCCTAAACCCTAAACCCTAAACCCTAAACCCAACACCCGAGACTCGGCCCGAGACCCTCAATGGAGCATATTCCTTGGGGGTTTGAGGTTGGTGAGGCCGCAGATCGCGGCTCGCCACCCTCGAAAGGTCCCAGCACCCTGGCTGTACTACAGTCACCATCCGATCGGGTTTGGGGTTTAGGGTTTGGGGTTTAGGGTTTAGGGTGTAGGGTTTAGGGTTTAGGGTTTGGGGGTTTAGGGTGCAGTTTGGAGGGTTGAGGGTGAAATTCACGTTGAGGGTTGGCTTTATCAATCGCCGGCTCTGCGCTAAAGCGGCGACGATCCTTTCACTGGTGCAACATGTCCTGTTGTATCTCCAACCTTGCGCCCTAATCCCCAAACCCTAAACTGCTGATATGGTTCCCATATACCTATGAACTTGTCGTCGCTCTATCAGTTACTTCCAAAGCGGCCCACACACAGAAAGGAATTCGCGGGGTGGATGTCGAAAACAACGGATAGGGATCCCGAAACCTCCACCAAGAAGGTACCCTCCCCCAAATTGTCCTGACCACTTCGGGTCTCAGTTTCTTGGGGGCCTACATCCTAAACCCTAGACACTGAAGCCTGAACCCTAGATCGAAAAAAACATAAAACAACCTAAATCCTAAACCCAGAATCCTAAACTCGAGGTCCGAGAGCTCAGGCACTAAACCGTACCCTATGACTGGGTGCATTTCCAAAAGTATGTGGGGCAATTATCCTGCTGCGGGGCGTCTATGAGAAGGATCGTCCTTTTGTGCTCTTGGGTTTTGTTTTGGGGGGATATTTTTGTTTGTAGAGCTTTCTGAATATCCATGGACTTGTACGTAGTTTCCATCTCCCCCACATCCCTGACGGGCTGTAGGGCTGTAGGGCTTAGGGCTACAACCCTAAACCCCAAACCCTAAACCCTGCTTAAACCTTAAACTCTAAACCCTAACCCAAAGAACCTGCAGAGTTTAGGGCCTATGGGTTGGGTCGGGGTCTAGGCGACCAGGAGTTTTCTACCACTAGGGCCAGTCATTCCTACCACTCCTTCCCCCCCCCCCCCCCCCGTCCCCGTTCCCTTCTAATCCAATGTAAACCAAAAAGTGCACCCGTTTTATGCCTAGGCTACTCTTGGGTCTAGTAAATCTAGGACCGTTTCGGATGGTCTTACGAAGACGCTGAGCTGTTTACAAGAGGCTTGTAGAAGCATCAGCTCCCCAACGGTCACTGCCCACTAAACCAGCGTAGGGTTTAGGGTTTAGGGTTTAGGGTTTAGGGTTTAGGGTTTAGGGTTCAGGGTTCAGGGTTTAGGGTTTAGGGTTTAGGGTTTAGGGTTCAGGGTTTAGGGTTCAGGGTTCAGGGTTTAGGGTTTGGGGTTTGGCGTTTCGGGTCTTTGAGGTGGCAGCTTCTTTGACTTCGAGGACTTGGGGGTGGAGCCGGGTCCTGGCCACTTCACCCTGCTTCTTGCTGCTACAGTGCTGATGAACCCCCTATAAACCCTAAACCCTAAACCCTAAACCCTAAACCCTACACCCTACACCCTACACCCTAAACCCTAAACCCTAAACCCTAAACCCTAAACCCTAAACCCCTACTTCTTGTGGTGTGTAGGGGGGTGTCAGAGGAGCTTCCCGAGACCTCTCCCTCCAGCTCTGTCGAGCCTGCCCTCGAGGCGGCGAGCGGTCGCGAGATTCCCAAGACTCCAAATCCTGACTGGGGTTTAGGCTTTAGGGTTTAAGGTCTAGGGTTCAGGGTTTAGGGTTTCGGAAAGTTTAGGGTTTAGGGTTTAGGGTTTCAGGTTTAGGGTTTAGCGTTTCGGGCTTAGGGCTTAGGGCTTAGTTAGGGCTTAGGGCTTAGGAAAGTTTAGGGTTTAGGCTTTAGGAAGTTGCGGGTTTAGGGCTTAGGGCTCAGGGTTTAGGGTTTGGTGCTCAGCGCGCAGCCCTAAGCCCCGGAGCCCACAGCCTTAAGCCCCGAAACCCTACTGTTTGCTTAAGACCCCGAAGACAGAAAAAGACGATTCTTCCGTACAGGGGCAATATAGGGATTAAGTTCTCATTATTACTATTTTTATTTTTGTTATATATTCTTTTTTTTTTTTTTGGGGGGGGGGCGGTTCATAAGCAAATATAGCAAAGTCCCACCCGTGAAGCCTAAATTTTGACTTAGTAAGTCTACTTGGTATCCCGCAGAAGGCCCTATTCAAATCCCTGTAACCCACCTTACCCCACATACTAAGTCAAAAGGGCTTCCAAGTACGGTGGAGGGGGGGAGGGGCACATGGAAGTGGGGCTTAAAGGAAGCCGTCTGCGATGCTAGTTTTGGACCATGCAAGTAAAGTATGCCCCTCCCCCAAATATACTCTCACACCATTGTATATCTGAATATGGGCATAGTATGCGACCTATACTTTTATGTACGAAATGTGCTGACGATGCTGTAGGTATTAGTAATAATATGCTACCACAGACGATCAGTTTTCTATGGAGCAGGTTTTTTTTATTACTGTTCTTGGTGAGTGTATATAAGGTTCCTCTATATTATTGGTGAGTGTATATATGTGGTGTCGTTTTGGGACTACAAGGACTATAAACCCTACTTCATATGAGAGTTGAAACGCACACGCCAACAGAGACGTTTGCATCTAACGGGGTGCTGGCAGCTGCACCCACATCCCAGATGCTGGGCCTATGCTTGTGCCCCAGGCTCCGAAATCCTCGTGCCTGAACCCTAAACCCTAAGCCCTAAACCCTAAACCCTAAACCCTAAAACCCTAAAACCCTAAACCCGAAACCCTAAAACCCTAAACCCTAAAACCCTAAAACCCAAAACCCTCAGCCCTGAGAAGGTGGCCGACGCAACGACACCAGCAGCTCCCGAAGGCCCAAGCTTGGGGCTTCAGGGGCTGGCATTGGGGCTCAAGGCGGTTTCGGGTTTAGGGTTTAGGGTTTAGGGTTTAGGGCGTCTCGCTGCGCAGCGGCAGTAAGCACCATGTGGAATTGGCGCCGCGACAGACAAGGGTGTGCGGGGGCGGCATGTCACGCGAAGGCGCACATTTCCGATGCAGTCCAAGACTTGTCATTGGGGCTAGGTTTCTTCCTTCCCCCCCCTCTGTGAGGTTTCACAGGCCACCACCCAAGCCATTGCCTTTTAGGGTTCATGGCTGCCACCCTCAATTCCCGCCATGAAACGCATCAAAAACTCCCCAAAAACGTTTCGGGAACAGCGGTGTCACAAGGCCTCAGGCCACAGGGCTGGGGACTCCCGGGGTTTTGGGAGTCCAGTCCAAGATGGGACAGGGTTGTTTCGGGCGAAGGGCCTCAGCAAGGGTGGCAACAAGGTCATAGGTCAGGGTTTAGGGTTTAGGGTTTAGGGTTTAGGGTTTAGGGTTTAGGGGTTAGGGTTTAGGGTTTAGGGTTTAGGGCTTAGGGCTTAGGGCTTAGGGTTTAGGGGTTTCGTAGAGAATTCGGTGCCCCCCCGAAGCTGTAGGGTTTCTGGTCTCCAGGGTTCAGGGAATTTCTTTCGGAGTTTCGGTTTAGGGTTTAGGGTTTAGGGTTTAGGGTTTAGGGTTTAGGGTTTCGGGTTTAGGGTTTAGGGTTTAGGGTTCCGGGCATTCTCTTACTGGTGTCTAACCTTCGAGCCCAAAACAATCCAAAACCCACCCCCCTAAAACCCTAAAACCCTAAACCCTAAACCCTGAACCCTAAACCCTAAACCCTAAACCCTAAACCCTAAACTCTAAACCCTAAACCCTAAACCACCCTAAATGTTGGGATGTTCACCCTTATACGAACAGTCCTTAGTAGGGATTCCAAATAGTCGCATGAGGGGGAACATCCCACCTAAACCCCAAACCCTTAGAGCCTTTCAGGTAGGCCCTACAAGCCCTGGTCAGCCCGAAAATCCCAGAGACCCCGGGCCCCAAACCCTAAAGCCCTCCAGCCAAGCCCCAAACCCTAAACCCTAGCCCTAAACCCGAAACCCTAAACCCTAGCCCTAAACCCCAAACTCAGTCCTAGACCCTAAACCCTAAGCTCCCAAAGGCGCAGCTGAGGAGGCGCAGCCCCGCGAATCGAGTGGACTCTTGGCTTTGGGAGGGCTCTGAGCATTCGATTTCTCCTAGGGTTGGGGTGCAGGGTTTAGGGTTTAGGGTTTAGGGTTTAGGGTCCAGGGTCTAGGGTCTAGGGTCTATAGGCTATAGGGTGTAGGGAGTAGGGAGTGTAGGGTGTAGGGTTGTAACGGTACTTGTGAGGAGGGCTGACAACGCCAGCTAAGGAATGTTCGATTTCGACCAGCTCGATGTGGCTCAGCATCTGGTGGACCAGCCAGCAGGCGCTCTGGGGCCCTGGGGCCCGCTGCAGATTTGGGGTTTGGGGTTTGGGGTTTGGGGTTTGGGGTTTAGGGTTTAGGGTTTATGGTTTAGGGTTTAGGGTTTAGGGTTAGGGTTTAGGATCCAACTGTACTGCAGTTCTCCAGATGCTCCCAGGTCCGTCCAGAGGTCAACTGTAGTTCTTGGTGCATGCAGCCCTTTCGAGTCGCTCTCGAGCTTCACTTTCACTTGAGCCCCCTCTTGACACGGGACCGTCGTCAGCAATGCCGCTGTCCATCCTCGTGACTTTGGTTACCGCAAGTCTCGCTTTGTCGGACACGATCCCCGAAGAGAGTAAGGGAACCTGTGCCTTGCAGACCAAGGTGACGAAAAATGCCGCAGTGCAGCCTCTTACATGCAGCGCAGAGGAGATGTTGTGCCATGATGCCATGACAATGACCGAGAGCTGCCACCCCAAGAGCGCCGGCTGCCCCGTCACGTGCCTCCCTGGTGAGCACGTGTGCCACGAGCCGCAGATGTTCGAGGGCGGTGATGCCTACAACTATTGTTCCTCCTACACTTGCCCGGTGTACTGCAGGTTCGATGAGGTCTGGTGCCATGATCCCAACACCATGATTGAGAGCTGCCACAATAAGACCGAAGGCTGCCCGGTGACTTGTTATGGTAGCGATCATTTGTGCCACATGCCGCCGCAATGCGAGGGCTGTGATGGCTACAATTGGTGCCAATCGTCCCCTTGCCCAGCATATTGCGGCACGGATGAAGTGCATTGCTATGATTCCGCCACCATGATGGAGAGCTGCCACCCTTTGAGCGCTGGCTGCCCTGTGACATGCTCGCCAGGTGAGAGCGTATGCCACGAGGAGCCGATGTGTGACACCTGTCAGGGATACAACTACTGTCACCACGGCGCCTGTCCAGTCTACTGCGACATGCACGAAGTAATGTGCCATGATCCCAGCGCCATGATCAACAGTTGCCACAACAAGACCGAAGGCTGCCCGGTCACGTGTTCTGCCGGTGAGAATGTGTGCCACATGCCGCCGCAATGCGAGGGCTGTGATGGCTACAATTGGTGCCAATCGTCCCCTTGCCCAGCATATTGCGGGACGGATGAAGCGCATTGCTATGATTCCGCCACCATGATGGAGAGCTGCCACCCTTTGAGCGCTGGCTGCCCTGTGACATGCTCGCCAGGCGAGAGCGTATGCCACGAGCCGCCGACATGTGACAGCTGTTCTGGACACAATTACTGTCTCCCTGGGCCCTGTCCGGTGATCTGTGGAGTAGATGAGGTGGTTTGCCATGATGTCCACACCATGACAGACAGCTGCCACCCCGCAAGCATCGGCTGCCCGGTCACATGCCCGCCAGGTGACAGCCTGTGCCACATGCCGCCGGCATGCGACACGTGTCAGGGATACGACTACTGTCATCACGGCAGCTGTCCAGTTCACTGCGGGATGCACGAAGTAATGTGCCATGATCCCGGCACCATGACCGACAGCTGCCACAAGAAGTGCGCAGGCTGCCCGGTCACGTGTCCTGCCGGTGAGAATGTATGCCACATGCCGCCACAATGTGAGGGCTGTGATGGCTACAACTGGTGCCAACCGTCCCCTTGCCCAGTCACTTGCGACATGAACGAAGTCGTTTGCCATGATTCCAACACCATGACGGACACCTGCTATCCAGCAAGTTCTGGCTGCCCAGTGACGTGTGCTGCCCATGAGTATGTCTGCCACACTGCGCCAACTTGTCAGGGATGCCACGGCTCCAACTGGTGCTCTCCAACACCTTGTGCAGTCTAAGCGCGGGTTGCCCTTTGCTCTTGGCAGCAGGGTTCCCACCTCCCGGCCCGGTGTTGCCTGACGCATGGGCGCCGCAGGTGAGGAGGAGAAAGCGCGGACTACTCCATTGGCTTGATCTTCCTCACCCTGCGGTGCAGTCACGTCACCGTAGTCGGCGTGGAAGCGGTCCTGCTGAGAAAAGGCTGCTGCTGTGTGATGCTCTTGCTACTTCTGCGGCAGCAGTATACAAGCGTACTGTCGCACGAGGTACTGTATTCGATACTATCTTGTACTGTGGCATCATACTATGACTACGATATGATATTTCATCGTCTTCGAGAAGTAGCCTTGGGCCTTGGGTCTTGTCCTACACCCCAACAGACACACCTGGCCTCCCATCGCAGACTGCACGCATACTTGCTCTTGCAGAGGGCCTGAAGCCCCCAAGCCCTAAACCCTAAACCCTAAACCCTAAACCCTAAACCCTAAACCCTAAACCCTAAACCCTAAACCGTGCAAAGCGCAGGCTCCGAACCACTGCGGGAGCCCGCAGCAGCCGAGCTTGTGGCGGACGCTGGTGCAGAGGAGGTGGGGGTCCTAGCCCCAAGCCCTAGGCCCTAAACTCTAAACCCTAAAGCCTCAGCCAAGCCCTGAACCCTAAACCCTAAACCCTAAGCCCAAAGCTCTGTGGGGGTCTGATGGAAAGCCTCCCAGAAAGGCTCCGAACCCCAATAGCAATACCTCCCTGCTGACCCTGAACCCTACACCCTACACCCTAAACCCTAAACCCTTAAACCCTTAAACCCTAAACCCTAAACCCTAAACCCCAAACCCCAAACCCTGAACCCTAAACCCTAAACCCTAAACCCTAAATGGGTTTAGGATTGGGGATTGACTTAGGCTTCTCAGCTCCCGAAGGCTCCACCCTAAACCCTAAACCCTAAACCCTATGTAAACCCTAAGCCCTAAACCCTAAACCCTATGTAAACCCTAAACCCAAACTCCGCAAGCTAAGGCAGGCATCCTAAAGACATGTAAGCGAAGATTCCGTAGGTGCTGAGCCGCGGAGCCTTCGGGAGCTGAGAAGCCTAAGTCAATCCCCAATCCTAAACCCATTTAGGGTTTAGGGTTTAGGGTTTAGGGTTTAGGGTTTAGGGTTTAGGGTACCCCTAAACCCCAAGCTCCTAAACCCATAAACCCATAAACCCATAAACCCCAAACCCTAAACTCTAAACCCTGAAACCTTAATCTGGCCCTTATCAGGGACCTTAGGGGTACTGCAGGGGCTACTAAGGTTTCTGGGGACTATGTGAGGGGGTCCCTCCTTACATCCCTTACATCTGAACCTCCCCTTCATCTCCAAAAATTTCTACTCTTTCTGTCCCTAAACCCTAAACCCTAAACAGTTAACCCTAAACCCTAAGCCCTAAAACCTAAACCCTAAACCCTAAACCCGACACTCTAAGCCCTAAACCCTAAACCCGACTCCCTAAAGCCTGCGTAACCAATACGACCCGAAAGATTCAGAGTCCTAGGCCCCACAATCCTCATGCCCGAGAAGCCCTAGAAGCTATGTTTAGGGTTTAGGGGTTTAGGGTTTTAGGGTTTCAGGGTTTAGGGTTTAGGGTTTAGGGTTTTAGGGTTTTAGGGTTTAGGGTTTAGGGTTTGGGGTTTAGGGTTTGGGGTTTAGGGTCTGGGGTTTGGGGTTTAGGGTCTTAAGCCCTGGACATAGCCCTGTAAGGAGGTTGCTTCCAAGCTTCCTACTGCTGTAAGACGGAACTTCATAGTTGAGGTAGACCCGAGAAGCTAAGCTTTCGGAGCCGGCACCCAAACCCAAAGCCAAAGCTCAAAACCATGATCCCGAAACCCTAAGACCTAAACCCTGAACCCGAAACCCTAAAGCCTGACCCCTAAACCCTAAACCCAATCGCCGAAATAGAGTTTAGGGTTTAGGGTTTAGGGCTTTTAGGGCTTTTAGGATTTAGGGTTAGGGTTTAGGGTGTGTATCAGTGTAAGGGCGCGGGGAGTGTGCCTGTTCTTTAGATTTAGGGGCGCACTCCCTATCGCGCGCTTGCATAGCTTAGTAGTCCCACCCCCCCACCCGAACTATGCTCTGTTAGGGTTTAGGGCTCTACCCGCCAAACCCCCTAGCAATGGGGGGCTTTCTTGGGTTTCTTGGCCAACATTTTCCCGGACACAGCGTAAACATGCTGTTGGTTTGTACCGACATGGATGAGGTTTCAGGTCCCAGGTCAACCAGAGGGTCAAGAGGGTCCCAGAAAGGTCCTTCAGGTTTCAGGGGTGTTGCAGCGGCAGCTATGCGACAGAGTAAAATTGATTACGAACCCCTAAACCCTAAACCCTAAACCCTGAACCCTAAACCCTGAACCCTAAACCCTAAACCCTAAACCCTAAACCCCAAACCCTAAACCCCATAAACCTTTTAAACCCTAAACCCTAAACCCTAAACCCTAAACTTATGGGGCCCTGTCCGAGATGCTCGAGCACCCATGTATGTGGGCAGCGTGCTCTCGCCGGCTTAGGTTTGGGGTTTTATTGTTTTGGGGTTTGGGGTTTGGGGTTTAGGGTTTGGGGTTTGGGGTTTAGGATTTGGCGCTTAGGGTTTAGGGCCAGTTTGGGAATGTAGGGTTTGTGGTTTAGGGCATGGCGCAAGGCCACCCAAAGCACGATGCCCACGGCGGAGGAGGGCGAGGCACCGGCAGCCGACACGGAGGAGGCTTCGGGCTGGGGCGGGTTTAGGGTTTCAGGGTTGAGAGGTTTGGGCTTTGGGATTTGAGAGGTTGGTTGGGGTTTTTGGACCTGAGCATTGTTAGGAATTCGGGTTTTAGGTTGAGTGGGGTGATGTGGCATGCAAAAGAAGACAACGTCGGATGTCGATCGGCTTCGTTTTTCTGGAGCCCCACAACCCAAGACCTTCACTGCCTCAAATCCCAAGCCATAGCACAAGGCTCCCCTTGGCACGGCGCACACGGCGGAGGAGGGCAAGGCGCCGGCAGCCGACACGGAGCAGGCGTCGGGCTGCGGTGGGTTAAGGGATTCGGGGTGAGGGGTTCGGGCTTTAGGTTTTGAGAGGTTGGTTGGGGTTTTGGACCTGAGCATTGTTAGGAATTTCGGGTTTTAGGTTGAGTGGGGTGATGCGGCATGCAAAAGAAGATAACGTCGCTTTCTGGAGCCCGACAACCCAAGACCTTCACTGCCTCAAATCCCAACCATGGCGGAGGAGGGCGAGGCGCCGGCAGCCGACACGGAAGAGGCGGATTCGGGGTACATTTGCAGGAATTTCGGATTTTAGGTTGAGTGGGGTGATGTGGCATGCAAAGAAAGACAAAGTCGGATGTCGATCGGCTTCGTTTTACTGGAGCCCCACAACCCAAGACCTTCATTGCCTCAAATCCCAAGCCATGGCACAAGGCTCCCCTTGGCACGGCGCCCACGGCGGAGGAGGGCGAGGCGCCGGCAGCCGACACGGAAGAGGCGTCGGGCTGCGGTGGGTTAGGGGATTAGGATTCGGGGTTTAGGGTGTTTAGGGTTGAGCGGGTCGGGCTTTAGGTTTTGAGAGGTTGGTTGGGGTTTTGGACCTGAGCATTGTTAGGATTTTCGGGTTTTAGGTTGGGTGTGGTGATGCGGCATGCAAAAGAAGATAACGTCGCTTTCTGGAGGCCCACAACCCAAGACCTTCACTGCCTCAAATCCCAAGCCATGGCACAAGGCTTCCCTTGGCACGGCGCACACGGCGGAGGAGGGCAAGGCGCCGGCAGCCGACACGGAGGAGGCGTCGGGCTCGGGCGGTTGTTTTAAGGATGTGTCTTTTAGGGTTGAAGGGTCTGGGCTTTAGTATTTGAGAGGTTGGTTGGGGTTTTGGAACTGAGCAAAGTTAGGAATTTTGGGTTCTAGGTTGAGTGCGGTGATGTGGCATGCAAAAGAAGACAACGTCGGATGTCGATCGGCTTCGTTTTTCTGGAGCCCCACAACCCAAGACCTTCATTACCTCAAATCCCAAGCCATGGCACAAGGCTCCCCTTGGCGCGGCGCACACGGCGGAGGAGGGCAAGGCGCCGGCAGCCGACACGGAAGAGGCGTCGGGCTGCGGTGGGTTAAGGGATTCGGGGAACATTTGCAGGAATTTCGGATTTTAGGTTGAGTGGGGTGATGTGGCATGCAAAAGAAGACAACGTCGGATGTCGATCGGCTTCGTTTTTCTGGAGCCCCACAACCCAAGACCTTCATTGCCTCAAATCCCAAGCCATGGCACAAGGCTCCCCAAGGCACGGCGCCCACGGCGGAGGAGGGCGAGGCGCCGGAAGCCGACACAGAGGAGGCGTCGGGCTCGGGCGGTTGTTTTAAGGATTTGGGTTTTAGGGTTGAGGGGTCTGGGCTTTAGGGTTTGAGAGGTTGGTTGGGGTTTTGGAACTGAGCAAAGTTAGGAATTTTGGGTTCTAGGTTGAGTGCGGTGATATGGCATGCAAAAGAAGACAACGTCGGATGTCGATCGGCTTCGTTTTTCTGGAGCCCCACAACCCAAGACCTTCATTACCTCAAATCCCAAGCCATGGCACAAGGCTCCCCTTGGCACGGCGCACACGGCGGAGGAGGGCAAGGCGCCGGAAGCCGACACGGAAGAGGCGTCGGGCTGCGGTGGGTTAAGGGATTCGGGGTACATTTGCAGGAATTTCGGATTTTAGGTTGAGTGGGGTGATGCGGCATGCAAAAGAAGACAACGTCGGATGTCGATCGGCTTCGTTTTTCTGGAGCCCCACAACCCAAGACCTTCATTGCCTCAAATCCCAAGCCATGGCACAAGGCTCCCCAAGGCACGGCGCCCACGGCGGAGGAGGGCGAGGCGCCGGAAGCCGACACAGAGGAGGCGTCGGGCTCGGGCGGTTGTTTTAAGGATTTGGGTTTTAGGGTTGAGGGGTCTGGGCTTTAGGGTTTGAGAGGTTGGTTGGGGTTTTGGAACTGAGCAATGTTAGGAATTTCGGGTTCTAGGTTGAGTGGGGTGATGTGGCATGCCAAAGAACATAACGTCGGATGTCGATCGGCTTCTTTTTCTTGAGCCCCACAACCCAAGACCTTCATTGCCTCAAATCCCAAGCCATGGCACAAGGCTCCCCTTGGCACGGCGCACACGGCGGAGGAGGGCAAGGCGCCGGCAGCCGACACGGAAGAGGCGTCGGGCTGCGGTGGGTTAAGGGATTCGGGGTACATTTGCAGGAATTTCGGATTTTAGGTTGAGTGGGGTGATGTGGCATGCAAAAGAAGACAACGTCGGATGTCGATCGGCTTCGTCTTTCTGGAGCCCCACAACCCAAGACCTTCCCAAGCCATGGCACAAGGCTCCCCAAGGCACGGCGCCCACGGCGGAGGAGGGCGAGGCGCCGGCAGCCGACACGGAGGAGGCGTCGGGCTGGGGCGGGTCATAGGGATTTGGATGGAGTCGGGGTTGCACAGGGTTCAAGCTCGTACAGTTGAGTTTCTACCGCAACCTGGGGGTTGGCTTAGGGTCTAGGGTACCTGCTTGGGCTTTAGGAGTTGTGTTGAACGTTTGGGGGGGTTCTCGGACCTACTGGTATTCCCCTAAGGGTCCATGTACTTAAATAGGGAATACTTGGGCCTTAAAGTACTTCCTATATAGGGACTTTTGGGCCCAAGTATATACTTATTAGGTACATGGACCCTGAGGGAGGTACAGCCCTCAGAGTTCGTTCTTACTGGTAAAGCTTAAAGCCCTCAGGGTGTAAGGGTTTTTGGGTTAAAGCCCCCAACCCCTAGGGGTTCTACTGTCTGAGGGTCTGAGTGGGGGCGATGTGTGATGTAGAAGCGGCCGGCAAAAGCCCACGGATTATCGGATGCCAGTCCTTGTGGCTAGGTGCGGTGTAGGGGTTTATAGGGCTTAGGGCTTAGGGTTTAGGGCTTAGGGCTTAGGGCTTAGGGTTTAGGGTTTAGGGTTTAGAGGTTTTGGGGGTTTAGGGGTTTATAGGGTTCACGGGGTTTAGTTATACGGTTGATGGGAAGGTTGCTGCAATGGGCTAAGGGCCGCGGGCTTTCGAATGTCGCTTTTCCGTGCATTTCCAGAGTTGCCGATACTACAAGTAACAAGAGACCATTCTTAAACTAAGCCCTAAGCCCTAAACCCTAAACTCTGAACCCTGAACCCTAAACCCTAAACCCTAAAACCCTTCAACCGCTTAAACATGCGGGCAGTGACTGGTTTCCCCCGCAACGAGGCTTCAAACCCCGGATGGCCTCTCAGGGTAGTTTGGTAGGGTCCCTTACCCTCTTGAAGCTTCCTAAACTAAGCCCTAAGCCCTGAACCCTAAACCCTAAACCCTAAACCCTGATCCCTGAACCCTGAACCCTAGGGTCCCTTACCCTCTTGAAAGGGGTTCCGAAGTATGGGGCCCTTGGGGTTCATAGGGCCGCGCACGCCCTAAACACTAAACCCTGGACCCTGAACCCTAAACCCTAAACCCTAAACCCTAAACCCGCAAAAAAACCCTTCAAGCCTTTCTTCAGCTGCACTGTCAAAATGCTCATGGAGTGGCTGAGGGACCATCCGGCCCAGGCCACGTCCACCCTGGCCTAAACTAAGCCCTAAGCCCAAAATCCTAAACGCCAAACCCTATACGCCCTACAGGACCAGGAGGAAAGCAAGCCCTCCGGGGGCCAACCTGGCAGAGATTTCACCATGGTGCTAGGTGTCACACTTCACAGGGATTTTTTTTTTTTTTTGGGGGGGGGGGGGGGGGGGGGGGGGGGGGGGGCGGGGGGTTCGGGTTTAGGGTTCGGGGTTGGCTTTGGGGGTTCAGGTTTGGGGTTTAGGGTTTAGGGTTTAGTTTCGGGGTTTAGGGTCTGCGGTGTAGGGTTTAGAGTTTAGGGTCTAGGGATTGGGATGAGGGATTAGGGATTAGGGATTAGGGATTAGGGGTTTAGGTTTTGGGCTCAATGTTTCGACTTTTGGGCCTCAGGGTTTCGGCTGCTTGGGGCTGGCGGGTTCTGGGACGATCCTGCTGAGAGCCCTACAAACCCAAAAGCCCAGTTAGGGTTCAAGGGTTTAGGGTTTAGGGTTTAGGGTTTAGGGTTTAGGGTTTAGGGTTTAGGGTTCAATAAGCCCCAAAATCTGAGGGTAGTTTCATGGGCCCTTAGTATGGTCCCCAACCTCCTTTAAAGGGTTCTGATGTATGGGCCGCTAATTTGTGTAGGGTATACAAGGGGTATACTAGGGGTACCCTTTGCTGAGGGGCCCTGTAACTACCCTAAACCCTAAACCCTAAGCCCCAAAAAGAGCTCCGAAACCCTGAGCCCCACGCCAGGTGGCTTCTTTGACTTCGACGACCTGGAAGAAGCAGGGGGTTGAGATGAGACGACACCTCCCCAAACGCTCAACCTTAAACCTTAAACCCTAAACCCTAAACCCTAAGCCCTAAGCCCTAAGCCCTAAACCCTAAACCCTAAGCCCTAAACCCTAAACCCTAAACCCTAAACCCGAGACCGCCCGAGACCTGCGAAGATGGCGATCTCAGCCGCAGCCTGATCCCCTGCAGGGTGCATCCGGCTTTTGGCAGCTGAACCCGAAACCTAAACCTCAACCCTAAACCCCACACCCCAAACCCCAAACCTTAAACCCTAAACCCTAAACCCTAAACCCTAAACCCTAAACCCTAAACCCTAAACCCTAAACCCTAAACCAACCCTAAACCCTAAACCCTAAACCCTAAACCCTAAACCCTAAACCCTAAACCCTAAACCCTAAACCCAAACCCTAAACCCTAAACCCTCAACCCTAAACCCCACACCCTAAACCCTAAACCTTAAACCGCAAACCCTAAACCCTCTATCTGGCCACCTAAACCCTCAACCCTTAACCCCAACCCAAACATATCTCAGCACCCAAAGAGGGGACCGTGAGGAGACTCTTTACCCTAGAACAGCCCGAGACCCGAGACCCACTACCCTAAGGCTCTGTCCCTAAACAACACAAAGTCGCCGGGGTTTTCGGGTTTAGTGCTAGGGTTTAGGGTTTAGGGTTTAGGGTTTAGGGTTTAGGGTTTAGGGTTTAGGATTTAGGGTTCAGGGGTTTAGGGTTTAGGGTTCAGGGTTCAGGGTTTAGGGTTTAGGGTGTATGGAGCCCTATGCGTCGCCTTGACTTCGTGGCAGAAGCTTCGGATATTGAAGACACACCTTAAACCCTAAACCCTAAACCCCAAACCCCAAACCCTAAACCCTAAACCCTAAACCCTAAACCCTAAACCCTAAACCCTAAACCCTAAACCCTAAACCCTAAACCCTAAATCGCATCGGGCATGTCTGGGCTTGGCGACTTGGAGTTGTGGGGAAGAGTGCCTTTGGGGCTCGCGGGTTTTCAGGGCTTCGGGCTTGGGGATACCCGAAACCCTAAACCCTGAACCCTGAACCCTAAATCCTAAACCTAAACCCTAAACACTAAACCCTAAACCCTAAACCCTAAATCCTAAACCCTAAACACTAAACCCGAAACCCTAAACCCTTTAGGGTTCAGGCTACGCGGGCTTGGACCTTTGACAAAGAGCAATGCGAAAGCCCGCAGTGTTAGTCGTTCTCTTTGCGAAAAAACTCCCTGTGGAGCGTCGGAAAGTCGAAGGTGAAGGGTTCTGTAGCCATAGGCCTAAGTCCTAAACCATAAAGCCTAAACCCTAAACCCTAAACCCTAAACCCTAAACCCCAAACCCTAAACCCTAAACCCTAAACCCTAAACCCTAAACCCTAAACCCTAAACCCTAAACCCTAAACCCTGAACCCTAAACCCTAAACCCTAAACCCTAAACCCTAAACCCTAAACCCTAAACCCTAAACCCTAAACCCTAGCCCTAAGCCCTACACCCGAAACCAGCATCCCCAAAGCCAAAGCCCTGCCTCAAGCCCTGAGCCCAAGCACCCCAGAAGCCCTCACACACCCGGCAGAAGCTAGGGCGGCTTAGGGTTTAGGGTTTAGGGTTTTTAGGGTCTAGGGTTTAGGGTTTAGGGTTTAGCGTTTAGGATTTAGCGTTTAGGGTTTAGGGTTTAAGTTTAGGGTTTAGGGTTTAGGGTTAGCTGGGCCCTTGTTATTTGTGCCATCCTTATTCACGGGTTTCAGACTCGTACCCCTAAGGTTGTGCCCCCAAAGGTTCCCCTCAATATACTCTTATTTTGACCCTTATATCCTCTTACAGGATCTTTGATAGGATTTCAGGGGTTAGGGTTTAGGCTTAGGGTTTCACGGTTTAGGGTTTAGGGTTTAGGAGGGTTCAGGAGGGTTTAGGGTCTGCCTGCACGGGGTCATTTACGCGCCGCGTGCAAGTCGCACAATGTTCTTCCGAGGTTGGGCAACCTGTGCCAAGGGATGGGGCTCACCCTTTCCTTTAACCCTGAACCCTATTCCTGAACCCTGTTCCCTCAACCCTAAACCCTAAACCTTAAGCCCCAAACCCTAAACCCTAAACCCTAAACCTTAACCCTAAACCCTAAACCCTAAACCCTAAACCCTAAACCTTAAAACCTCTTCAGTGGAGGCTGGTCTTGCTAGCCACGGCCTCTCTGCCATCGCAACGCCCGGCCCGCAGACGCGGTAGGCTTCGAAAGCCCCCGGCGAAAGTATCCTCAACTTAGGGTTGAGGGTTTACGGTTTAGGGTTTAGGGTTTAGAGCGTAGGGTTTAGGATTTAGGGTTTAGGGTTTGGGGTTTAGGGCTTGGCGTTTAGGGTGTATGGTGTAGAGTGTAGGTGTAGGGTGCAGGGTTTCAAGCATTATGGAGCCCTAAACCCTGAGCCCTAAACCCTGAACCCGATATCTCATGAGGGCGAAGAGACAATGAACTCCAACATCCCCGCGCGAAGCCTACTGGTTCTTTAGTAGGGTGTAAGGTTTGGGGTTTAGGGTTAAGGCTCTCGGCTTAAGGGAATTAGGGACTTTTCTATCCCCCCTATAGAATCCGGTAAAGGGTGCAGAATGACCATGAAGGGTCCAGGCATACACATCCTCAGCTTGGGACGAAGTGAACCCAAGAAGGGTTTATAGTTCATATACCCTTCATAGGGATTACCTCAACCCTAACCCTAAACCCTAAACCCTAACCCCAATGTTAGGGTTCATTTGGTTACACCACCTTTCCCTGGCAAAGTTGCCCCTAAACCCTAGACCCTCAACCCTAAACCCTGAACAAGACCCCAAACCATTCCAAAGAGCGTGGCATCCAGCCGCCGGGGAAGCGCAAGGCAACCCTAACCCTGAGGGTCCATGTACCTTAGTTTTATATACTTGGGCCCCAACGTCCTTCAAGTATTCCCTGTTTCGGTACAAGGACCCTTAGGGTAAGCCCTAAGTCCTAGACCCTCAGCTCCAAAGTGCCTGGTCTCGCTTCATTGGGCCTCCATTCCAGTTGATCGCAGCTCTTTTCGGCTTGGTCCCCCCACACGATGCCGTAGAGTCTAGATCAAGGCGTCACGTCGCGATGGAGATGCTCCGTGTTTGGGGAGTCTCCGGCAACGAGCTGGCCGCCTTGAGCACGGAGGAGTTGAGCGACGTCGCGGCCCTGAAGCTCCGCTTGCGCGAGTTGCACGGTTTTCCTGTATGCCTCCAGGAGCTTCTGCATTGCAGCACTAGGCTGGAGGATGCTGTTAAGCTGGAAGTTCCATTGGAGCTGCAGCTGTTCATAAGGGCCTCCCTTGAGACTGTAGGGCCGGCAGGTATTGAGGAGTTCATCTATGCCGCCTCCTGTGGTCTGACTGAGGTGGCCAGTCGTCTGTTGAAAGTTGGTGCTGACAAGGACGTGAGAACCGTGAATTTCAAGACAGCTCTCATGTTCGCATGTGAGAATGGTCATGTGGAGATTGCACGCTTGCTGGTGGGAGCTGGTGCTGACAAGGACTTGAGGGACTTTGTCCCAGGTCGGACAGCTCTCATGTTCGCATGTCAGAACGGTCATGAGGACATTGCATGCTTGCTGGTGGGAGCAGGTGCTGGCAAGGACATTTCGACCGTTAATGGCAATACAGCTCTCATGTTCGCATGTGAGCAAGGTCATGTCGAGATTGCACGCTTGCTGGTGGGAGCAGGTGCTGACAATTGCCTGACAACCATGAATGGCAACACAGCCCTCATGTTCGCATGTGAGACTGGTCATGTGGAGATCGCACGCTTGCTGGTGGAAGCAGGTGCTGACATGGACATGACAACTGTAAATGGCAATACGGCTCTCATGTTCGCATGTGAGAATGGTCATGTGGAGACTGCACGCCTGCTGATGAGAGCTGGTGCTGACAAGGACATGACAACCATGAATGGCAGTACAGCTCTCATGTTCGCATGTGAGAAGGGTCATGAAGAGACTGCACGCTTGCTGGTGGAAGCAGGTGCTGACAAGGACGTGACAGCTGTTGATGGCAACACAGCTGACAAGGACTTGAGGGACTTTGCCCCCAGCCGGACAGCTTCCATGCTCGCATGTGTGAAAGGTCATGTCATGGGGAGACTACCCTAAACCCTAAACCCTAAACCCTAAACCCTAAACCCTAAACCCTAAACCCTAAACCCTAAACCCTAAACCCTCAAGATAAATATCGAAACATCCAGATAAAAGGACCACTGTTCTTATTGGCTGCCTAGGTGCCATGAAGAAGTTTTGAGCAAGCCCTGCACCCTAAACCCTAAACCCCAAACCCTATAGACCCTATAGACCCTATAGACCCTATAGACCCTATAGACCCTATAGACCCTATAGACCCTATAGACCCTATAGACCCTATAGACCCTATAGACCCTATAGACCCTGAAGCTGAACTCCCCTCAAACGGCTTTTCAGCTACCTGGGTTTAGGGTCCAGTCGGGTTTAGGGCTTATCGGGTTTATTGGGTTTTATGGGGTTCATCGGATTCGAAATTCATCGGGTTTTGTGGGGTGTAGAGGGTTTAGGGTTTAGGATTTAGGGTTTGGGGCGTAGGGGTTAAGGGTTTGGGGCATAGGGGTCATTGTAGATGGGGTTTTGCGGACGCTGGGGTGTAGGACTTTCACGTTTCCACCGGGCAGTCAGCACCCCTAAATCGTACTCCCTAGCGGATAATATTCCCTCATTCCCTACTAAAGACCTAAACCCTAAACCCCAAACCCCAAACCCCAAACCCTACCCCCTAAGCCCTACTAAGAACCCGTAGGTATAATCCCCAATCCCGCAGAAGACGAGTGCACCTGGGATCCCGCAGAGGGGCATTGTTAGCCCTTCTGGATTTCTGGCTGCTAGGGTTTGGAGTTTGAGGTCCCTAAACCCTAAACCCTAAACCCTAAACCCTTAACCCTAAACCGTTTTAAACCCCAAACCCTAAACCAGGGTGTAGGGCTGAGGTACCTG